TTCAATATGTATGTTTTAGTATTGCCCGATGCAAACCATTGTCATATTCGTTAAGTTTAACATTTTGTAACATAAACGTTCTCAGAACGTTTGGTCATTCGATCGTTATTTGTATTGTTTACCGTAACATGTAAATTGCGTCTCAGCCAAAAAATGAATTTTACTCGTGAAAATTTTCGAGCGATTATTTTTTTCCACTTTCGATTGGGTGTATCACAACAACAGTGTTTTGATCAACTTCATTTGGCCTTTGGCGATGAAGTACCAAGTCTTCGGACAATTTATAATTGGTACAACGAATTCAAGCGCGGTCGCTTATCGCTCATCGACGAGTTCCGCGAAGGTCGTCCAAAATCAGTTGTTGTACCAGAAAACATCGATGCTGTCAGAAATATGATAATGGAAGATCGTCATGTAACATATCACGAGATTGAGGCATCCCTGGGCATTAGTGCGACCAGCGTATTTAAGATTTTACATGAACATTTAGCTGTCAGAAAGATTTGCTCTCGTTGGATACCACATAATTTGACAATCGCTCAAAAAAAGGCTCGTGTCGATTGGTGTAAACAAATGCTCAAGAAATTCAATCGTGGTGTTTCAAAATCCGTGTATTTTATCGTCACTGGTGACGAATCATGGATCTACGCGTATGAGTCCGAAACTAAACAGCAGTCGACTGTATGGGTCTTTCAAAGTGAAGATAACCCAACAAAAGTTGTTCGAGCTCGAAGTGTTGCGAAGCAAATGGTCGCCTGTTTTTTTGCGATAAGTGGTCATGTGGCAACAGTTCCACTAGAGGCTCGTAAGACCGTCAATTCTGATTGGTACACCACCATTTGTTTGCCCGAAGTGTTTGATGAAATAAGAAAAAACAACCGCCGTCGCAAAATAATTCTTCATCATGATAATGCGAGCTCTCACACATCTCATCAAACAGTCGATTATTCGACCGGTCAAAAGATCGATTTAATGGGTCATCCGCCGTACAGTCCTGATTTGGCACCCAATGATTTCTTTTTATTCCCGAGCGTGAAGAATAAACTGCGTGCTCAACGATTTTCATCGCCCGAAGAAGCAGTTGATGCGTTCAAAACACACGTTTTGGAGATATCACTTTCGGAGTGGCATGAATGCTATGACAAATGGTTCGAGCGAATGCAAAAGTGTATTGATCATCATGGTGAATATTTTGAAAAACAATAAAACCATTTTCGATGAAACCCCATTGTCTTATATATGTTTTTGAAAAAACTTAAATAGTGACCCTCGTATATATACAAACGGATAGTTATATTAAAAAAAATTATAAAAGTTTTGTCATTTCTCAAAAAAATTCAAATCTCATTGTTAATTATGAGTAGAAGCAGAAGTATGTTTGTGTGTATTTTCATAATGTACAATAGCCAATTCGAGGTTTGCATTTTGCAATTTAATTTTCAAGGCATACGTAAGTTAGATATTGAAGATTTTATCAATGTTGTATCGAATTCAGACTCAAGTGTGAACAGTGAGAGTTTGTGTAATTTTAAAGACTTGTCTAAACGATACCTGCCAAAACATTCAATCCGCAAATTATTTGCAAATGTCCGGATAATACAAAGAACAAGCTGTTCAAACAAAATCGACATCGAACGTCAGAAAGATATCTTTGATGAGTATTATGGTCAAGTGAATTGGACAGAAAAAAACATTATTTATTCGCGCTCATGTCAAACGCTTACCGCTTGAAACAAAAAAGTGTCACTATATCCTTTGAATCAAGGCAATATTGTATAATCATTCATTACGATATATATTGCGTCCATTCAAAAAAATAACATTTTTGGTGATTTTTTCTTTCCGTACGATAGACACGCTACACATTTTGAAATATTTATACGTCAATACTTTATTAATTGGCCAAAAAACTTGACTGCTCTTAGACAATATAATTCGGTAGTTATTGAATTAGTACTACACTACCAGTTCGGTAAAGGAAGAAATTTGGAAACAGTGCGGAAAAGTTAGACTTACGGATGTAAGTTCCTGTTTATTTTTAATTTATGATCTCCTTATGGGTAAAATAGTGTCTAGTTCACTTAGAAATAAAATTACAGAACTGATTAGAGTTAGGGCATTTTCATCGGATTATGCACATAATCAGACGTTTTACGTAGCTTGTAGAAACTTTAACTTGATAAGAGAAACATTTTTAGAATCGGCATCAAGACACATCTTTAGAAACAATATTGTCAAATTAGAAAATGTGATATTTGATCGGTGAAAAATTTAACTTTTAACTTTTATGTGTTATATAGAATATAGAAATTAAAACAGTGAACACAATCGATATCTGCTACTCCGAAGTCGAAAAGGCTGGTAGCTAGGTATACGATCGGGTGGTGTTTCATTGTGAATGATATTGTACAAATTTTGTTATTAATTCAGTCTGTGATCAGACGGTGAATAAATAAATAAATATAAATAAATAAATGCAATTACTATGACTAATGCTAAAAGCATGTAGATTTTTTTGGAATGAAAATTTGAAATAAATGAAACGTAGATGAACTGAGTCAATTATTTTAGGATTTAGTCAGACGATAATAATGAATTTTGACTGTTTAAAATTGCACATGTATGAACTTGAAAGTTGCTCTTTTCACAATCTTTCATAATTTTTTTTTGGTTATTTATTTCGTTTCATTATCTTTTTTCATGAACATAAAATGATGTTGAGAGAAACCCATTCAATTCAGAGCATGCAAGCTCAAAACGTTGATTACATTATCTTTTAAAATGCACAAAAACAGTTTGCAATAAAAACCATTTTTTTTTTCAATAAGTTGAAATTAAAGTTGAAAAACAAAAAAAAAACATTCTTACGAAAAGAGAGTACTTGAAATGGCATTAAAATAACATGGAATCGGCTTATCACAGGAATGACCTTTCTTGAATGAAAGTAAACAGTGCCATTTAAAAAAACGAAGATAACTTTGACCTATTCATGTGAATCGGATAACTTATCAGTTAAATAATGTACAGATAAAACATAGAATCCTTTGTGAATAAATTGTCAATTACATTTGGAATCATGAAAATTGGTGCACATTTTTCGGCAAAATCTTTATTTTTTACTCAAAAATGCCTTTCAAATGTAAATCGAGTTGTGATAAACAATTAAAACTCTTGAAAACTATATTCATTAATGGAAACTACCCCTCCTTCAAAAACTCTTGAATATTCCCTTCTCTTGTCAACTAATTAATTTTTTGATTGCAAGTACTTCAATATAACTTAATTTAATTACGTCGTTATAATTATTTTTCTATTCTCATGAGCAATTTACATATTTATTTTAAAGTGCACGATATAAACACATTCATTGGATGCTAAATGCAATTATTTCTACATTTTATGCTCAAATCACTTTTCAAAATCGATTGGATTGTGTGTTGCCTGTAATATGACTAATGATATTTCTTCTAATCGGTTGCATCGCGTGAGTTGACTTGAATTGTCGAATCGACCAAAACAAACGAAGAGTGACATAGTAACCAATTTCTACGATGCTCAATACAGAAATGCCCAAGAAGAGTCCAAGCAGACCACCGCAAACTGCCAAGAAGTCGGTAAACGTATACAAAGCCTGGCGTTGAATTGTGACCACCTCATAGTCCCTGAAGAAAATCCTTACGACAGAAACTTTTGATCTAAAAATGAGAAAGGCGGAGAGAAAATGAATCAAAAACACTTTGTAAGCGAATTGATTGGGCTTTTGGGAACGATTTGGTTCTCCGTTCGTTTCGGACTAAACAACTAATTTTCATTCAATTGTTGACTGGGCTAAAAACTATCTGTATTTAATTTTATTACTCAGAAGCTTGTTTCAATGGTATTCCAAATGACTTCAGAGTTCCCTCCCAATTCAGTTTGGCTCTATCGATCTCAGCGTTATATGTGATCGAGGTGCATGCCGACATACAATTACATTCTTTCCGAAATGTCTTTGCTAAATTATCGGTCAAGCCATGAATTACATCCTCGCCAAATAGTCTATCTGCAGCATTCTGATAACATCCTAAACTAGCTACCCCGCAAATTTTTGTATTTCTTTCTCCTGAGGGAAATCAGAAAATTGAAAACGCTCTATGAATGAAAATGAATAACAGAAAACATACTTGGCATTGAAAATTTCACGCATCCACATTGAATTAGAGTAAAATTGGCCAGACATTCAGCTTCGCAATTATGCTGTGAGTAAGATTTAAAGAAACGCAACTGACGTTCATTGTTAAAAAAGCAATTTCTTCGATTTGGACGGTATCTGAGCAGTTCGTATGATGTGGTTATCAATTTTGGTTTAATGGCAATTTCAGCCTCTTCGAGTAATGGCACCCGAAAGGTGTGCCGATTTTCTTTAGTTGTGTGACCCGGTGTATGTAAAATCACTTTGAATCCTTGAATTGACCCTTTGCAAAAATACTCCAAGTCTCTTTCGTGCAAGCGAAGCGTGACTACCAACGAAGCTCCGTGTTTGGCATTATACACACGTAAAGGATACTCCTGGTCGTTGAATTGATTTTCATAGCCATTTTCCAAGCTCCAGTGTGACACATTTGGATTTGTTTTAACAATCATAAGACCAGGTGCCATCCTAGTAGGAAAAACATGATTTTTCTTCAATTTCCATTCGTTTTTAAATGAGTTGAATTTTTACATCGATCAACAGAAAAAAAAACTTACTCTTCTGTATACATTTCGTTTGAATTAAAAGCATTAAAAGCAAAACAAAAACCTTCGTCCGTAAAAACAGGCACGAAATGCTTCAAACACAGTTTAGGTTCATATTTCCACATGCATTCAAATATAACATCTTTAAATGATGGTGCCATATCTTGTATCACATCAAATATTCTTTCGTCGGTGAATTTTTGTTGACATTTCGTTGGATCGGTCAAATAAGGCTGGCAAATATTATTCAAAGCTTCCATTCGTATCACTCTATGAATAAATGTGCATATCTTATAAAAAGAAGTAAATGCAACGGTTAAAGTTCTTACTCTGTTTCAGAAAAGTTCATTGTTTTTTGTATAATTGAATGAACTACCGCCGAGATATTCAATTTTCTTGCATATGTTTTGGTTTCAGGACATATTGACACCTGGAATTTATGCAATAATTTCAATTGGTTTTTTAGGTTTTATTGTTTGAGCTCATCATATATTTACTGTTGGGAATGGTATAGTAGATACATCATATTGTTTCTCTGTGAAGCTCATTGTCACTGGGTTATCACGCCATTTCAACCAAATAGTTTGTATCGATGTTCCACATAACCAAATAGATATGCTAAATGAAATGGCCCACCATAAACTGAAATCATTGATACCATTGAAGGTTTAATTGGTTTTTTTTCGAAATTCAAAACTAACCGTTCGCTCCAGTGACGTCGTTTTTGTTTCGAAAAATATTGTACACCATGAACGCTACTACTTTCGAAGAATTCATTAAGCAACTCTCTTGCTACCTACAACCACAAAAAATCACAAAAAATTCAAACAATTCACATCGAAACTTACATGAGTCCGTATTTCGCTTTTGAATTTGGCCGTTAAATTATTGCGTCTTCTCATTTTGAAATGTGGTCTAGTTTTGAACAGGCAAGCACTTGAATGGCCTTTTTTATAATATAAAAAATTAATTAATATGGAATTTTAATGAAAGAATGTCATTAGTTGATTTAATATTGATTCCTCGATCATTAGGGCAGTTGTACAATTTTAATATAATAATAAAATGTCTTACATTCGTATGATGAACTTTTCCTTACTTTGTTTATTACATATTTTTTGCTGTAAATTCGAATTCACGAAAAAACTGAATCTGACATCAATTTTGCGATACATATAATTCCACAAACTTTTCATAAAAAGATTACTTAAAATGTGAATTTTTGTATGGGAGCCATGCCATAATGATGTGAAACTTTGCAGAGCAATCGTAAAAAATTCCTTTACACAAATTTAGATGTCACCGAAAATTGTCTAC